AACACATAGGTTGCCAATTTTGACCTTCTGAAAAATACCAGTTGCCTAACAGTCTCTGGCTTTACTATTTTATGGGTCACTGATCCAAAACAAGTATGCAGCAAGGAAAAGTGCAATGAAAGCTTTTGATTTGCATACGTCTTCCAGATGTCAGAGGACTAATACTAGCACAGCTGGTGTTAATGCCAATACTACAGCTAATGCTCATTCCCATGCAGCTAATGCTCATGCACATGTACCAGCACAATTAAGCTTGGGTTAATATCCAGTGTGCACTGACACGTAGGAGAATCTCTGTAAGCCAACACGCATTGGCGCACATATCCATGTGCATTGGCGCCAATCTGCCTATTTAAAGGAGACCCTGCTGTGTGACAATCACTAGATGTTCTTCAACTCCCCCGTGACCTGTGTTCCTGTTTCTGCTGACTGATCTCCCATTGCTGACCTGGCTAGTTCCTGACCTTGCTCTGTGGATTTGGATTTTAACCTCAGCTTGCCTCTGACTATTTTCTGCCTGCTTCCCTGATTCTGATTTCGGCCTGCTACTGGACCTCGGTCTACCTGCTTCATTGGTATTGACCCTGGCCTGCTACCTGACCATACGTCTGCCTCATCCTGTATGACCCTGGCTCATCCTGACTATGTCTCTGACCACGGCAGTTACCTGCTACCAAGCTACCAATACCTGTGCTTCTTTGAGCCTAGTACCTCTGTCACCACCTTCAGGGGTGCTCGGACCAGAGACACAAGGGAAGACCTCTCGTCAGTTTGGCCTTCAACCAAGGTACGTGAAGCCAGATATGTTAATCAGAAACTATTGAACTCATCAGACAGGTGTGACAACCAGGCAACTTGCATTTTCAGAATCAGAGTATAGCAACAGCCACCTACATATTTCATTAGTGCAGGTTGCCTTTAAGGTGTGTGTTTCACTAGCTCTTCACTTCTTCTTTCAGATGCCTCGTGATATAACTTGATTAATATCAGTGACATGCAAGATGTTTTATGTTGCTAATTAGACCTAGCCATACATTATACTTTATAAATTTTGTGTGAACATATTTTATGCTCATGTCATATGTAATAATTACTCTATTCATCACACCATTTAAGCTATAAGGCACTATTCATTCTGCCTTTCACTGTACATTTCAATTTGCATCTTAATGCATTTTCTCTCATTAAAATGTGTTATTCTTAGATATACATAACATAAAAACCTCCTATTATTTCTTATTAATAGTCTATTGTCTTCTAGCTTTACAATTTAGAAACTTACAATGAGTCATTTAAAAGCAAAAACAGTTTTTTTTATGCATGTCCAAATAAGAGCCATTCCGTTTTGAGACACTATTGATGTTTCAAGGCATAGTGTTCCTTTCTAGCCATATTCTAAATAAGATGATTGCTGTGATCTGAGTTGAAAATGCAGCCATTTTCTAAATTACACCCATTACACATAATGCCACTTTTTTGGTAATGACAGTGGTCTGGCAGCTAAGAAAACAGATGCTCTCAAAAAGGAACAGACACATGGTTATACAAATAATGCAAAATCAAGCAGATCTGATAACCTTGAGCAACGGGAAACTTGCCCCCTTGTAGCAGCCCGAAATGTCATGCTGAATAGTATAATAATTTGTGGTGTACCGATAAGCGTTAAACTCATTTGTATTGCAAGTCTGTTTTTTATATCTGTTATCACATTGAGTGTAAAGGTGCCATTATCAACAGTGAAAGGTTACTTTAGACCTAATTAGACAATAATAAATGTTTTTATTGACTGTGCCCAGCTCTTCCAAAAGCTATCGCTTGAACAAGATGACAAAAACTGTTTCACGATTAGCCAAAATTGTGCATGCGTGCAGTTGTTTATTGTCTTTTGCACATCCATATATTTAGAAGGATAACAGAGGTGTCCACTGACTGAATTATAAAGATATGGCCTTGAATGTGTATTTGTGAATCTGGTAAAGATCCATCTTTCTGTGATTAAATTGAAGTCAGGATAGACGGCACTATTTCATTGTATGGTCAAAGGCTGCCAGCGGATCTTTTACTAAAACTACTGGTTTCCTAGCTGTCATCTTGCTCCAATGGCTTCAGTGATAGTCACAGACTTAGAATGAATTTTCAGTTTAGGATTTCTGATCTCAGTTTTGCTGTCCTGATATGCATGCTTGTTCCAAGTGAGAATTTCAAAGTACTAAAGAGTGAAACAGCCAAGCAACCATCAATGTGAGGTTACCAGTTGCAACTTCCATATTTCTCAGCACAGGTTTCCATTAACGTAAATGTAAATAGCAGTCCTAATGAAAGACATTAGACACTAGTCATAGTTCTGTGGTATATCAGACAGATAAAGCATGTTTCTCCTAATTGGATTACGTATTTATAACGTTGCAATGCATTCCATAAAGTGAATGTAAAGGCAAAATAAAATTAAACCATGTGCCCTACATCTCTGCAATACATGCATATTGTCCCATGTATCCCTTTAAAGACTCTGTAATTAGAGAAAAATACCCATTGATGTATAAGAAATGCCCACAACTACTCATTTCTTATTGTGGGATGAAACACGGCATTTTTGTGGACTAGTGTCAGCTCTGGACAGTTTTTTTGTTTTTTGCTAAACTATTGAATTTTTCCCATTGTCCTCATCTCTACAACATAGGGGCTGTTAGGAGCTTAAGACACACTCACATGCCTACTTTACTCTACATCGCTTAGCCCTGTGTCTTCTTCTGGGCAGAAGAGATGACACCCCCTTAGTCTCTAACAGCCAGCAGTGGCAACTATCTTCTACCCAGCAGGTGTCTCCATTGATGGACAATGGGCTCTACTTGAGAGGTGTTGCGCTATCTGCTTCCATTGGCTACAAGCCTCATGCCTCCTGTACATCCTCCCATTTGCAACACTGCCTCTTATATCGTTTCAGGTCTGATTGGCTGTGGCACTGCAGTGCTCTATTTGAGCATTATATGCCCAGGGCTTTGGGATTGTGATAGCACCTAGCTACCTGACTCCCTATCCTGCCTTGCTTACTGTTCCTGCCCACTTAATCTATTCATTCGAATATCCTGTTACAGACCCCTTGCCTGGAATACAAACTTCTTTTTAAGAGTGCTTCCTGCCTTTGAGTTCATACTGATTCAGAATTATGCTTCTCTGTTACCTGCCCTATCTTTGAACGGTTTGTGGATAATGCTGTGCCTGTTGCCTGTCTTTGGATAACGCTGACCATCAGCTGCCTGCCCTAACCACTGTCAGCTGTGCTGTGCTATGACCCATGCTGGATAATCCTGAAGGTCATATATATATATATATATACATATATACACTGGGCCTCTTGTGCTACTAGGTCAGAAACCATAGCATTGTGTAGCAATACCTGAAGCAACAAAATACCAGTAGGCCTGCTTGCCTTAAGGGAGCAGAGGCTGCTACAGGTGAAGCAACACTTGATAGCTATAGTTTCTATCCTTAGAATTGGGGTGAGCATCACAGGGGCTAATTGTTCCATTGTGCCAGATAAGAACTAGGAGGCCTAATTATTCCCATTAAGATAATGCAGGAAGTGTGCACAGGACAGCTTTGACAAACTTGGACAAGGTTAACAGGTTTGTTATTGAACTTATTAAACAGATATAACATAACACTACAATTGTATGTTTAAAAGAGCAAAAGAGAAGTTCATTCAGTGCTGTACACTGGATATGGAGATTGCTTGATGAGTTGAGGGCATGCTGGAACTTTAAACATTGCTTATTAAACTTCCTGGTGACAATCTATTGATTTATTTGATGACGCAACGTCCGCTGACATCACTTCCGCCCTTTGGAACGCACGCTGGAACGCGGCTGCCATATTGGTTTCCATTCACAAGCAACAAGGCTGATTACACTGAGTGCCAGGTTATGGGCACTTTGCTTGTGAGTTGTATTTTTACATTTTCTCCCCAATATTAAAGGTTTATGGTTTTACACTATGGGATGTCCGTTTTTGTCTCTATTTTTTTGCTGATATTTGCTGTACTGCCTGTGGAGGAGAGGAGGAATTCAGGTTTGAAGTTTTGATACGGACCCTGTGGAGATACACTGGTACCATTAGCAACACTGTTTAAATCCTGTCAAAGAACATCGGTTACCGCTAACAACGCTGCTATCCCCTGGAAGGATTATTGGTTATCACTACCAGGACACTGGGATAGTCCCAAAAAAGCGCATAAGACCATACTTAGAGATAGGTGGTCATGGGATGATGGTGAGTGCAAATCCATGTGGGGCACCGTTCTGAGCACAGTGGAGCACCTGTCACTTTATTACGGAGTTCACAATCAAGCATTTACCACCTTTCCACTTTATTCTCACGTACTGGGACTGAATATTATTACCAGTATAATATATGTGTATTGACTATCACAATCATATATATATTTTTTTTTTCCACTAAGTTTATTGTATGCGCGGTCCATATGGTATTTATTCATTTATTTTGCGTTTATAAGTTCACAATTAGGACTGAAGCTTAAATACGGTTTATTTGTACTAAGATTTATTCATAAGCGCAGTAATATTTTATTCATGGATATGGAGATTGCTTGATGAGTGGAGGGCATGCTGGAACTTTAAACATTGCTTATTAAACTGATATTATTCAGCTTAAACAGTGGGCTATTTGTCCACATTCTGTAAATATATTAAAGAGAAACTCAGGAAGAGACGGGAGGTAGCCTAACCCACACTCTCTCCTGTTACAGAGTATAGAATAACATATGCTGCACATACAGTAGAGCACTCCATACATACAGGAGTTAGAAAAAAAATGGAAACACTACATGATGTGCAGGCAGGGGCGGACTGACAACTCATGGGGCCCCCGAGCAATAGGGGATCATGGGGCCCCTGTGTCCTTGCCCAAACTCAAAAAAACCTATGAAAAAGGTACCAGGGTCATCTCATGGGGCCCCCTACTGACCCCGGGCCCTCGGGCAGTGCCCGAGTGCTCGAATGGTCAGTCCGCCCCTGGTCGGACCAAAGCTCTATTGGACCTATTGGCAAAATTACATGTTCTAGAGTGCCAACACAAAAACAATCCAGACCCTACTATTGACAAGACAATGCTCAAGTTACGGAAGGCAATCTGGGAGCATATACTTTGCCACCAACATGGACTCGGTGCAAAACCCTTTCTCTGTGTGGTCCAAACATAAATGTTATATTCGAGGGATTTTGATCAAACATGGCCACGCAGCCAAACAATGTCAGACCCAGGGGCGGACTGACAACTCATGGGGCCCTCGGGCAATAGGGGATCATTGGGCCCCTGTGCCCTCGCCCATACCAAAAAAGCCTATGAAAAAAGCCAATGAAAGGTACCTGGGGCATCCCATGGGGCCCTCTACTGACCCCGGGCCTTCGGGCAGTGCCCGAGTCTCCAAATGGTCAGTCCGCCCCTATATGCAGGTGTTACAGTAATGACATGTTTCCTGTTGAAAGCAGAAGTGATGTAACATTATTTTGCTTCTGCTGTGTGATGAGACACCTAGCTTACAGGTGGGAAGCCTCACTTTTGTCATTCACTGCATGCACTACTAGTAATACAGGATCATGTCAGAGCTTACTGAGCTTCAAAGAAGGCAAATTGTTGGTGTCTGCTTAGCTGGTGCCTCCGTGACTGAAGTTGCCAATTTATTTTTACCGTATTGTGAGGTGCAGTATCAAAGGTTATGACGGCATATACAGTTTCCAAGAAAACGTCATCTGATAAGCATAACTGCAGTCAACATAGTCAACTGACTGAAGGAGACAGAAGAACATTGTGCAGGATTGTGACCCAGAATAAGAAAACAACTGCTGCAAAAGTGACTGCGGGGCTTAATCTCAGTCCAGTGAAGACTGAGTCCTGTGAAGACTGAGATTGAGCTCTGCAGTCACTTTTTCAGCAGTTTATTTCTTATTCTAGGTCGTAATCCTGCGCAAATGTCCTTTTGTCTCTTTTGGTCAGTTGACCATATCGACAGTGTTAATGCTTATCAGATGGTGTCTTCCTGGAAACTGTATATGCCGTCATAACCTTTGATACTGTACCTTGCAACACGGCAAATAAGTTGGCAACTTCAGTCACAGAGGCCCCAGCTAAGCAGGTACAAACAACTTGCCCTCTTTGAAGCTCAATAAGCTCTGACTTGACTCCGTATTACTAGCAGTGCACGCAGTGAATGACGAAAGTGAGGCTTCCAGCCTGTTAGCTAGGTGTCTCATCACACAGCAGAAGCTAAATGATGCATCACTTCTGCTTTCAAAGCGAAACATGTCATCACTTTCACACCTGCAAATCATGTAGTGTTGCCATTTTTTTGTCCAACCCCTGTACTATGATACTGGCAAAAGTACTGAATATGACATTCCTTGAACCATTTCATTGTGCTGGGCAAGACATGTTGATTGTCTGATTCTATATGCTGTGCTGCAGGTTGCCACTGTAGGGCTGTGTGATAGATCTCCCAGCTCTTACTAAACATACAGTACATAGCATTTTCAGATTTATCATACAGCCCCACCAGCACTGATTGCTTGTTCACAAATTCAATAGTAAACAGTCAGTACTGTGGGGGCTGTGTGATCTGCCAGCTTCTAGTAAACATAGATGGCACTGGCAGATAGATTGTACAGCCCCAGAGCACTGATTGATCACTTACTATTGTGAATGTACAGTCAGCACTGGTGTGGTTGTGTGATCTATCTGCAAGTGCCATGTATGTTTACTAACAGATGCCTAATCTAGCACACTGTCCTGATTTACAGGCAGCTTCCCAAGACCCAAATAGCAATCATTAAAATTCACAGCCAGAGCACTTAGAGAACATTAATCTCAGCTGACTGTGCACTTCTGTAGAGAGTGTAATAAAGGGCTAGTAGTGCAGTACCAAAGACAGATGGTATTGCAACACAGTAGGCACGAGGCACAGGACACTGCCCAAAGAAGGCAGGTGGCAGTGCTCAACAATAGACAAATGTCAGTGTGTTAGACAAGGCAGATTTCAAGTAGCAAATGCCCCGCAGAATCAGATCTATTACATAGCCAACAGTACTGACTGATCATTTACCCTGTGGGGCTGTACACAGTGAGAATCTTAAGAGAGGTGGCATTGCCTACTGGTGCTATGCTGTAGCTTCCCTAATGGAATGCCCATTAATTTGGCTTGAGTTTGGGGTGGATCTACAGCACAGCACAAACAGAAATAAAAATGTGCTTTCAATACAAAAGGCTGTAGTGCACTTGATACCATGGGGGATACAAGAAAGATATTTAATTTGTGCCAATTTTATTTTAACCACCTTCCGCCCACCCTATAGTACAATGACGGGCGCAAGGTGGTTCTCTCGTTCTGATAGGACGTCATATGACGTCCTACCATTCTCACTGCGCATGGCTCAGGGAGCGCGCAGCGCGGCGATCGACGGTCCGCTGTGTACCTCGGAAACAGCAAATCACGGAAAGAGCAGAAGATGTCGGCTCGGTCATGTGATCCGCTGTGTCCAATCACAGCTGATCACATGTAAACACGGAAATGCCGGTTATCGGCATTTCTCTCCTCTCGAGCTGTCACGCTGACAGCTCGAGAGGAGAGGAGAGCCGGTAATTGTCTTTCCGCGGAGGGGACATGTACACTGATCATCAGGGCACTGATGATCAGTGTGCCCTGATGATCAGTGTGGCCCCATCAGTGCCAGTGCCCATCAGTGCCAGTGCCCATCAGTGCCACATCAATGCCACATATCAGTGCATACCAGTGCACATCAATGTCACATATCAGTGGCCATCTGAGCTGCCTTTCAATGTCACCCATCAGTGCCAGTCAGTGCCACCTATCAATGCCAATCAGTGCTGCCAATCAGTGCCACCTATCAGTGCCAGTCAATGTCGCCTATCAGTGCCAGTCAGTGCCAGTCAGTGCTGCCTATCAGTGCCTATCAGTGCCAGTCAGTGCTGCCTAACAGTGCCAGTCAGTGCTGCCTAACAGTGCCAGTCAGTGCCGCCTAACAGTGCTGCCTATCAGTGCCAGTCAGTGCTGCCTATCAGTGCCGCCTATCACTGCCATATATCAGTGTCATGTATCATTGTCATGTATCAGTGCTCCCTTTCAGTGCCCATCAGTGATGCCTGTCAATGCCCATCAGTGCCACCTACCAGTGCCTCCTCATCAGTGCCCATCAGTGCCACCTATCAGTGTCCATCAGTGCAGCCTATCAGTGCCCATCACTGCAGCCTCATTAGCGCACATCAGTGAAGGAGAAAAATCACTTATTTACAAAATTGTATAACAAAAACTAAGAAAAAACTTTTTTTTTTCAAAATTTTCTGTGGTTTTTGGTTTGTTTAAGAAAAAATAAAAATCCCAGAGGTGATTAAATACCACCAAAAGAAAGCTGAATGATAAAAATTTCATATGGGTACAATGTTGCATGACTGCGCAATTGTCATTCAAAGTGTGACAGCGCTGAAAGCTGGAAATTGGCCTGGGCGGGAAGGGGGTATAAGTGCCCTGTAGGCTAGTGGTTAAAGCAACTCTGACACAATTAAAAAAAAAAAAAAAAAGGAACTCCCTACAAAGTAAGTATACTTACTCCGAGTCTTCACTCTTAAAGAGCTATGTTTAATGAAGAATCTTCCATATCCAAAACTTCCAGGAGTGTTGGGTACCTCGTTCTCCTCTGTGATCTTTGATTCCATCCACCAGTTCATACTGCACTAAAGGACATGACAGTGACAGAGGGGCCAGCATTAGGAACCAGAGCATGTAGCGGGAAAACATGCATCTGACACACCCAGAAGTGTTGGATGCTGAAGATCCTTCAGTAAGTTTAGCTCTTCAAGAAAGGAAAGATGGCAAGTGACATTTGTTATAATTGGCTGCAATCAGATGCTTGTCAGCTATGATGTCACCGAGTTGCCTCTACACCCTATCTAGTTAGAAAATGCTTTGCATTAATTCAGAAGATGCAAAGCTGTATATGAATGGTGTCCATGCCAAGCACCCAACCTCCTGTGTTCAGAATGCAGCAAGGCTGGCTGCTAGCATGGGACCTGGAAGTAGAGATCACTGGTCTAGCAGTGTCTATTTCTGTGATTTCCAGCTTTCAGAGGCATTGGCCAGGTATGGTATATGCATAGTTACATTGGTCCACGCTTAACCAATGTAACTAAATATACCATACCTGAAATTCATCTTAAAGTGTTACTAAACCCACAACAGTAAAATCAGTCTGTATATGAAGTAAAGCATGCTTGTTATACTCACTGTGGAACCTAAGGGGTTAATCCTTTGCATTGTGTAAAAAGGCTGTTTGATCCTGACTTCTCTGATCCTCCAATTTTTCCAGTGTCTTCCTCTTATCTCCTGATAAGACATATCGTGTGGAGACACTGCACATGCTCAGTTTGGTGTGTATTGCTAGAGAGGTTTTTTTTTTTCTTGGGAGAGTGCATGTGATCAGTACATGGCCAATCAGCACTGCCTAAACAGAGGTCAGGGGTTCTGCATCCTCCTAAAGAAAACTCCTCCTACAAGCTTTAACTAGTGCTCTGCTGAACACTGATAGAAGTCACATTCTGCTCTAACTGCTGATGAGAAAAGGTATTTAGCAGTTTATATTTATTAACATAACTGTATTTCTGTGGGAGAGCAGATATAGTAAATGCAGGGTCCTGGGTTTAGCAACACTTTAAAGGATTATAGCACAGGTTTGTTACAGTTAACCTTTAACCACTTCAAGTCCAGACACTTTTATCCCCTTCCTGTCCAGGCCAATTTTCAGCTTTCAGCGCTATCGCACTTTGAATGACAATTGCGCCGTAATGCAACACTGTACCCATATAAATTTTTAAGCATTTTTATGAGACAGATAAAGCTTTATTTTTGGTGGTATTTATTCACCACTGGGATTTTTATTTTTTTTTGCTATATAAATGAAAAAGTAAAAAAATTTTGAGAAAAAGTGTTTCTTATAAGATTTTGCAAATAAATAATATTTCATCATAAATCTTGGCCAAAATGTATTCAGTTATCTTTTTAGTCAAAAAAATAACCCAAATTAGTTTATAACCAAAAATTATAATTTTTAAAACATATTTTTAAATCTTCATTTTATTTTTTTATGTTATTATTTATATTTTTTTTCTACATACTGTCACCCTAGCAGTGCAGTGTCACCATGGTGACACTGTACTACTTGTGTGGGGATGATTTTTTTTTTTTTTACACTGATTGCTTTTACACCCATAAAGGCTGTAAAAACAATCATTTCTCCTTCTCTCTGGCTGCATCCTTGCAGCCATTGAGAACTACTGTGTGAGCTGTGAGTGGTCACAGCTTGTCACATGGTACAAGGCTGTTGTGAATAGCCTTGTACCATGTGACCTCTGTGATCATTCACAGATTTCACACGTAGTGTGGACTGGCTGTGCGGACAGTTGAAATACCTGCAGCCACCAGCAACCTGTCATTATAATGATCAGAGCTGGCAGCTGCACCTAACCACCAAGAGCCACAGCAGGAATCTCTAATTGCTGTCTCTACAATTCACACCAGCCCTAATTGCTGGTGTGAATTATTATCACAAGTCCAAGACCTAGATACCATTTTCTCAGTTGAAACAGGAATATGACCATTTGAAAATTGAATATGATAAAATGAAGGTAGAATGTGACATATTATGGGATCAACTAAAAAAATTAGAGGATGTTAGAGGTACAGGGACAGCAGGATGCGGGGGTCCTTCAGATCTGTCTTTGAATGCAAATTAGACCTCTATAGCAGTGGGGGTGAACTGTAAAAATGTAAATAGTACCTTGTTATCTTCAAACACAATATTTAAGGACTTGGCTAATAAACCTTTGTTTGAGAATTTCCTGTCTTTCAGGTGTTGAAGACGTGAATCTGTGTGACCAGAAATTTGCAAGTGAAAGACAGAAGGATAAGAAATCTACACAATCTATTTGAAACTGTTTTGCTAATGGGGAGAACAAGCAAATGTTTTATTTTGGATTGACACCTCTATAAAATTAATTATGAGGACTTTAAGAATTATGGACCTTTTCAATTGTCATCAAGCAATGGACTTTACATTGTGACCTTTTTTTTTTTCTACGATCTTTTTTTTCCTATTTTCTTTCATTTTTTTTCTTTCTTACTTATTTTCATTATCATTTATCTCCTGATCCTTGTCTTAAAACCAGAGAGAGGCATTTAAACCTGATGAAAAAACGTCTGTATATATATAACTCCTGAGGTGAGATGCTACAAAATGGCTTTGCATACATAACTTATTGGGTGTCTGAATATAGAAGAATTTGAGAAGGGTAGCAGAAGTTGAGAATATAATACTTTGGGAGGCTTTCTCTAAAGTTATAAGAGAGTTGAGTGAAAGTTATCACTCCAGTCAGAATTAGAATTTTATTGAATCAGTTGCTGAAGTCTATGACATATATGAATGTAAAGAACTTTCTATTTTCATGGTGAAGGTACTGGCAAGAATGTCTTCTGCTTTGTCTGGACAGATGATTTGATGAGCATAAATGTCATGCTGATACTACCTAAACCATCCAGGATTCTGTTCAGTGGAATTATGTACTGAATGATCACAGTAACTGCTCTATTGAAGGCAATGTGGGGTCAGCCTACAACAAAATGGTGAAAGCTAATCACTGCTGGCAGAAGTTTTATTTTGGATTTGTGATGAAGATTGCTACAATTTATCAATTCATCTTTAAAAATGAATACCCCTATGCATTGAATGGAGAAAATCCTGGATTTATGTGGATTGGAGCAATTACTTTCAGTGGACCAAGCAATTACTTTCAGCAAGATGGTGAAAAATGACTCATGTACTAAAGTCAAACTCAGGACTGGACTGTGATGTCAGCTTATCATTAGGACTGTGGTGTGATACACTGAAGAAACTACAAGCCATGGAATAGGCCTTACAGCTATATGGGCCACTGATGTTTAACAAATCCTTTGTTTGATGTGGTCTAAAGTCATATTATCCAATAACTGATTCACGGGAATATTTTAGAGGCTGGCGAAGAGAGATGTAACCAGTTTCAATTTCATATTTTATATGAGCCATTATAAAGCATTCAATACCTAAAATCACAATGCAACCCTGCTAGTTGATTATATGTTCACTATTTTTGAATGAGTAAAGAACCGATTCAAGTGGGGGAATATATAGTACATACATTGTGTGTTTTTTATATACAAGTGAAACTCGAAAAATTAGAATATCGTGCAAAAGTTCATTTATTTCAGTAATGCAACTTAAAAGGTGAAACTAATATATGAGATAGACTCATTACATGCAAAGCAAGATAGTTCAAGCTGTGATTTGTCATAATTGTGAAAACCCCAAATCCACAATCTCAGAAAATTTTACATGCAATCAATAAAACAAGGATTGTACATAGAACAATATCAGACCTCTGAAAAGTATAAGCATGCATATGTACTCAGTACTTGGTTTGGGCCCCTTTTGTAGCGACTACTGTCTCAATGCGGCGTGGCATGGAAGCTATCAGCCTGCGGCACTGCTGAGGTGTTATGGAAGACCAGGATGCTTCAATAGCGGCCTTCAGCTCTTCTGCATTGTTCGGTCTCATGTCTCTCATCTTTCTCTTGGACCCCATAGTTTCCCTATGGGGTTCAGGTCAGGAGAGTTTGCTGGCCAATCAAGCACAGTAATCCCACGGTCATTGAACCAGGTTTTGGTGCTTTTGGCAGTGTGGGCAGGTGCCAAGTCCTGCTGGAAAATGAAGTCAGCATCCCCATAAAGCTCATCTGTGGAAGGAAGCATGAAGTGCTCCAAAATCTCCTGGTAGACGGCTGCATTGACCCTGGACTTAATGAAGCACAGTGGACCAACACCAGCAGATGACATGGCTCCCCAAATCAACACAGACTGTGGAAACTTCACACTGGACTTCAAGCATCTTGCAGTGTGTGCCTCTCCATTCTTCCTCCATACTCTGGGTCCTTGGTTTCCAAATGAGATGCAAAAGTTGCTCTCATCAGAAAAGAGGACTTTGGACCACTGAGCAACAGACCAGGTCTGTTTTTCTTTAGCCCAGGTAAGACACTTCTGACGTTGTTTGTTGTTCAGGAGTGGCTTGACAAGAGAAATACAACATTTGAAGCCCATGTCCAGGATGTGTGTGATGGCTCTTGATGCACTGACTCCAGCCTCAGCCCACTCCTTGTGAAAGTCCCCAACACTTTTGAATGGCCTTTTCCTGACAATCCTCTCCAGGCTGTGGTCATCCCTGCTGCCTGTGCACCTTTTTCTTCCACACTTTTCCCTTCCACATAACTTTCTATTAATGTGCTTTGATACAGCACTTTGGGAACATCCAACTTCTTTTGCAATTACCTTTTGAGGCTTTCCCTCCTTATGGAGGGTGTCAATGAGGTTTTCTGCACAACTGTCAGGTCAGCAGTCTTTCCCATGATTGTGATTCCTACTGAACCAGACTGAGAGACCATTTAAAGGCTCAGGAACCCTTTGCAGGTGTTATGGCTTAATTAGCTGATTAGAGTGGGACACTTTGAGCCGAGAATATTGCACCTTTTCACAATATTCTAATTTTTTTGAGATTGTGGATTTGGGGTTTTCATGAGCTGTAAGCCATAATCATCACAATTATGACAAATCACGGCTTGAACTATCTTGCTTTGCATGTATTGAGTCTATCTCATATATTAGTTTCACCTTTTAAGTTGCATTACTGAAATAAATGAACTTTTGCACAATATTCTAATTTTGTGAGTTTCACCTGTATATATATATATATATATATATATATATATATATATATATTGAAGACACTGAAACACATATGTTCATTTTTGGACAGGCCAGTGAAAAGACCACTTTACTCATCAAAAGAACTCCTTGCTATGTTAATTTAATGCAAGATCACCTTGGCACTCAGGAGTCAACATGTTACAATTCAAAGGAGGTAATTTGCAAACCTGCAAGGGTGATAAAATGCAGATAGCTCAGTCAGAATTAAGTATGGTAAATAGCATTCTTGTTTATCTAATTAATGGTAAAATAATGGTAAAATAATGCAGTTTAGGATATGATAGAATATCACTGCATCTGTCCAAGCCCAAAAGGCATTACCTGTCACCCAGAAGATCAAAGGGGCTACTAAAAGTGGCCAGTCAGAGTGCTTGTCATTCTACTGAATTGTGAGAATGTGTATATTAGAGGAGTTTCTTCCTTTCATTAATATGGAAGCACAGGTATAGATCATAACTTGCATTATTGCATGCATGGAAGCTACTTAGGTGCATATTATAGATTGGACATATGCTGGACAGTGTAGTAGCTCCATGTTTGATATGAAGTATCTTAAATGGGACTCTGAGGACTGTTGTTCGTTGTAATATTTACAAGTATTATAGATTGGATTTTTGTCATCGGTTA